TCAGACCCCCCTCTCGGGGGGGGGGGACGCTGTTGCAGGGAGACGGGAGAATCTTTGTCCTAAGCAGCACTGGGCGCACCAATGCAGAGAGCCAAAGCGCCCTGTCCTGGGTGCCCACAAGTGGGTGGCCCGTGCACTAGCCTGGGCTACAGAACAGTCCTGCTGTGAGGGCGGGGGACTGGCCCTTTGTTCTGTGCTGTGGATCGCCGGCCGAGGCTCGCAAAGCTCTTAGCAACTGCAGTGAACGTCTCCCAGCCCCCAGTGCCATTCGGGCCTGGCCTGGGGTTGCTGTTTGTGCCCCAGTTCCCAAGGATGGAGCCCCCCAGGGATTTGTGCATCAGAAACACTCCCGGCAGCTTGTCTGCTTCCCTTGCAGCTACCTGAGCCCTGGGAAGAGATGAGAGCCAGAGCTTAACTGCTCCATCCTGCCTCCGGGACCCCACCCAGCTCTACAAGCCAAGCTGCACTGGGCCCCGTTCCCCAATAAACACAACCACATTTCTCCAAGATCGGCTGCCCCTCCCCCTCCCCGGCCCGGGAATACAAGGTCACTAAAGGAACTCCACACGCCAAGGCCTGGCCAATCGCTCTGTGCAGCAAGGAGAAACAGGGCGCTAAATACCAGACCTGCCTATCAGTAGTACTTGAGATGGGGGAAACTGAGGCACAACGTGGGGCAGCCAGCCAGGGCCAGGAACAGAACCCAGGTGTCCTGTTGACCAGTCACAGAAGTATTCCTTCCGTCACATGGACCATTGTTCCTCCGTATCCAGGGGCAGAAAGGAAATTTCCATTACTTAGATTGGCATCTCTTTGGGGCACAGACCATCTTTGTGGTTGTACAGTTCCTAACCTGCTCTGTGCTTGGGGCAATGCAGTGGGGACAGGGGTCCAGAGAGACCCAGTGATTTGACCAGGGTCACACAGTGAGTCTGTGGCAGAACTGGGCATTATACCCAGATCCTCCCCAAAATATGCCACTTCACTCTCTGCCAGTCTGGGCACCCAGACCAGAAGAACAGAGCCCAGGCAAGAAAGGGGCTTCGTTTCCCAGCAAACACTGGCTGAGTTAGGAGAGGTTAGAAGCTCTGGAGCTAACTGAAGACAGAAAGACCCCACATGGAGCTAGCAGTGCCCACTGGGAGGGAGCACCAGGACTGCGGAGCCCAGAGG